ATTAAGCATAAAGAGACTGGAAATAAATAGCTGACCAGTGATGTTACCTGCAAAAAGCAGAAAGAATCCCATCAAAAGTTTCTGCTTGGCCATTCTTCTCTGATGTTGGGATGTTTGATTGACACTAAAGAAATCAAAACACTACATTTTACCATCATAACCAAAATAAACCACAGCTGTGAAAGTGAATGTTCAAACAGCATTAATGCAAATAGAAATTTATACATAATTATTTATACCAATTTTTATCTGACAAATACAAGCCATCACAGTAGAAAAGGGATTTCCCCTCTGTGTAATGTAAATAAAGTATATTTCACAAGTAAATAATGGCATTATTTTAGTAAAAGTATCATATATTGCTTATATGTATGTGTGTAATTTAAACAAATGGGTAAAACGGACAATACCAAAAATACAGCCATGGAACAAAACCTTCAAGCAACACTAGAGGGCATACCCTTCATTATTTAGAATCCAATGTTAAAATTTTATTTCATTTTTTTAAATATATTTCTGAATGGAAGAATAGAATGTCAGTCTTGTGTAGATATGAAAAATAAAAGATATTGTATATCACTCTTTGTGCCAGTTAGCTGTTTTAAGTTTGTGCACATACTCATCCAAGTCAGAGTTTTCTTTTTAATTTTCTATTAAAAACATTTGCAGGATGGCTGTGGTTTCTTTTGGATCACTATCACAAATGTTAGACATTTTTTTCTGAAGCGTCTTGAGACTGACATTAATGTTCCACTCAGCATTTGGGAATACAACATTTCAATAGTACTGTGAATGCCATGTCTTCGCATAATGCCTCTCCTATCAAGTTTTCACCTGAGGTTGAAAACCCCAAGCAGTGACTGACAAACGTGTTAGCAAACATAGTGGATATTTCACTTTCTAGCCAAGCAATTTTCTGCTGTTCATTAGGCTTCTTTTTATGTTCATTTTAAATTAGTTTTTCTTTTTTGGTCTTAATAGTGTTAAGGTTAATCAATTTTGATTACACACAATATACACTAATATTTAACTTTCTAAATAATTTTTAACATTTTTGTGACACAGTAGTGTAGTCATATTTATTGTATAATGTTTATACACTCTGCTGTACGGTATATGTTATCACTACAGTTACCCCAAATCTTTAAGAAAACCCTCCAAAACAAAAACAAACCCCATAACAGCTAAGGTGCATTATTTTGATTTCAAAGGTATGATAAAACCTATAAAATGAACACAAAAATCTACTGAATCTTTATCAAATCTACGGTATGTACTAGTGTCACCACATACAGGTGTATAACATTGTAAAGGATGACTTTTTTTTCACTTACCTGATAAAGCTGCTGCCTGGCTGATCTGAGACGCAACATTCACTCAGTACTCTTTCTTGAGAATAATGATGAGCTAAT